GAGAGAGAGAGAGAGAGAGAGAGAAAGAGAGAGAGAGAGAGGGCGCTCACTGTGCTGGCTTGGCCCCCACCCACAAGAGCGTGCGCAGGGCTATCCTCTTGTGCAGATTCCAGCGCTCCACGGCCACGGCCATGATGAGGCCGCCCAAGAACAGCATGTTGGTGTCCTTCATGTACTGGATACACACCTGGAGGACAGCACGGGGCCCATTAGGGCCACCCCGGCCCCGAGACCGGCCAGCAGGCCGGGCCGCCCGAGTGGGGACGGAAGGTCAGGAGGTCCGTCCGCGGGCCAGACACGTCGGGTCCCCAGGGGGCCGGGCAGTTCTGACAGGGGCTCGGGGAGTGCGCCACGGGGCAGACGCAGCATGCCGCCAGGGGCCCCCGGGGGCGCTCACCTGCTTGGAGTCCAGAATCTTCAAGAGCGGGAAGAGCAAGGCCGGCATGAGGGAGGTGACGGCCAGGGGGATGACCTCCGTGCACCAGTACACGGCCATGAGGATGATGACGTAGGCACACCTGACGAACTGAAGGAGCAGCCCTGAGGCCTCGGCACCTGGTGCCCCCTTCCCCCACCAGGCACCCCCCTCCCCGCCAGCGGCTGCGGGCACAGCCGGAGCAGGCTGCCGTAGTCAGAGGGCCTGCCCTCAGGCCGCCCCACCGGCACGGCCTCCCCGGCCCAGGACCCGAGGGGACCCAGGACCTCGTGCCCCTGCCTCCCAGCTGGGTCCTGGGCAAGGCCTCGCACCTGTGCAGGACAGATGAAGAGAGGGGGCGCGGAGGAAGAGGGGGGAGGAGGAGGACGACGACATCGAGGACGAGGACAGAATACAGAGGTCCCTGGCTTCCCACGGTTCGACCTAACGGTTTTTCGACCCTCCAAGGTGCCAACGTGGCCACACGAAGTAGGATCCGTATTTAGAATTCCCCGGGCTCCGCGCGAGCGGCCGGCCTCCTCTGTGACCTTGGCGACAGCGGCCTCAGCTCAGAACAACCGTTCTGCGCCCCCACGGGCCTCCTGGTTGTCACTCTCGGGACCGCACTCCACGAATTGCACAAGACATTCAACACTTTAGGTCGGAGAGGCTGGTGCCCGACTGCGGGGCCGGCTGGTGAGCTCCAGGCGCCACGGCAGGGGCTGAAGGCTTTCTCCGCCTAGATACCTTCCACTGGCCGTGGGTTGACGGGGACACAGCCCCGTCCCAAGTCCAGGAAGATCTGCACCTGTTTAGTAACGCGCCGGTCACGCTCACAACAGCAGAGGCGACGGGGATCCTGGCCCCCTGC